TGATTGAGGCCATCCACTTTGTGACAATGATCTTGGTTTAGATGCTGTTGGAGGAGGTTGTGTAGTTTCTAAAAGTGGTTGGGGTTTTTCCGCCATTGACAATGATTGAGGCCGTCCACTTTGTGACAATGATCTTGGTTTAGATGCTGTTGGAGGAGGTTGTGTAGTTTCTAAAAGTGGTTGGAGTTTTTCCGCCGTTGACAATGATTGAGGCCGTCCACTTTGTGGCAATGATCTTGGTTTAGATGCTGTTGGAGGAGGTTGTGTAGTTTCTAAAAGTGGTTGGGGTTTTTCCGCCATTGACAATGATTGAGGCTGTCCACTTTGTGGCAATGATTTTGGTTTAGATGCTGTTGGAGGAGGTTGTGTAGTTTGTAAAAGTGGTTGTGGTTTTTTCGCCGTTGACAATGGTTGAGGCAGTCCACTATGTGACAATGATCTTGGTGTAGGTGCTATTGGAGGAGGTTGTGTAGTTTCTAAAAGTGGTTGGGGTTTTTCCGCCATTGACAATGATTGAGGCTGTCCACTTTGTGACAATGATCTTGGTTTAGGTGCTGTTGGAGGAGGTTGTGTAGTTTCTAAAAGTGGTTGAGGTTTTTCCGCCGTTGACAATGATTGAGGCTGTCCACTTTGTGGCAATGATTTTGGTTTAGGTGCTGTTGGAGGAGGTTGTGTAGTTTGTAAAAGTGGTCGGGGTTTTTCCGCCATTGACAATGGTTGAGGCCATCCACTTTGTGATAATGATCTTGGTTTAGGTGCTGTTGGAGGAGGTTGTGTAGTTTGTAAAAGTGGTTGGGGTTTTTCCGCCGTTGACAATGATTGAGGCTGTCCACTTTGTGGCAATGATTTTGGTTTAGGTGCTGTTGGAGGAGGTTGTGTAGTTTGTGAAAGTGGTTGGGGTTTTTCCGCCATTGACAATGGTTGAGGCCATCCACTTTGTGATAATGATCTTGGTTTAGGTGCTGTTGGAGGAGGTTGTGTAGTTTGTAAAAGTGGTTGAGGTTTTTCCGCCGTTGACAATGATTGAGGCTGTCCACTTTGTGGCAATGATTTTGGTTTAGGTGCTGTTGGAGGAGGTTGTGTAGTTTGTGAAAGTGGTTGGGGTTTTTCCGCCATTGACAATGGTTGAGGCCATCCACTTTGTGATAATGATCTTGGTTTAGGTGCTGTTGGAGGAGGTTGTGTAGTTTGTAAAAGTGGTTGTGGTTTTTTGGCCGTTGACAATGATTGAGGCCGTCCACTTTGTGACAATGATCTTGGTTTAGGTGCTGTTGGAGGAGGTTGTGTAGTTTGTAAAAGTGGTTGGGGTTTTTCCGCCATTGACAATGGTTGAGGCCGTCCACTTTGTGATAATGATCTTGGTTTAGGTACTACTGGGGGAGGAGACTTTAGTGTCTTTTGTGACAAACCTATTAATAGTAATTGCTATTAATAATAATAAAAACTGACTGTAAATAATTTAGTGCTTGCTGATTACATTCGTTAATTTCAATACATTCTTGTAGTTGATATTTATACCTTTTATTTTTCCAGTAGCTGCTCTCATTTCATGTAGCAGTGTTGGATGTTCTTCAAATGCTTTTATAAGAAGAGACATTCCTTCATGATCATTAACAGCATTTTTAATCTTTCTTATAGTATCAGCATCAAGCAGTGGTAGAGACTCCTCCAGTTGTCCTTTGATCAATAACTCATGAAACTCTATCAATTCAGATACTTTTGGTCTATCATCTGGTATATCCATTAATGCAATAGGAGAGAGTGGATGACCTCCTATCAATGACTCTTTTCTACCTGTAGGAGGAGCTGGTCCTATTGTTGACAAAAAATAAAAATAATTTACAATGTAATAATGTTTATTATGATATACTATTAACAGT